TTTCAGCCAATATCTTTTGAATTTATTTTCAACAATCCATACTCTTGAGTCTTTGTTCGGATGGTTCTATAACAATAATAAAGTTTCTTTTATTTTCTTTTAAATTCCAAAATCCAAACTCTTGAGAAGACCAGACACTTTAAAACGTTTTCCTGTACCATCAGGTGGCGTTCTTGAGTCTTTTTACCTTTAACTTTCTTTATTGAATATAATACTTTTATTAAGTTCGCTAATTTCAATCATTAGCTATGATTTCTTTTCAACACTCAATTTCAGCATTTAATTATGCCCTTTAAGTGCCCATAATTCAATAGTTATCCAGTTTAATTTCTAAACCTTTGTTGTGTTAAAGTATTTTCCTTTAAATTTTCTCCTCCAAATTAATCCAATCCAAGTTTTATATGATCCAATTTCTTTCTCACTTTCTCTGGTCACCGCTTCCACACACCTCCCTCCAAGATAGCCCTTTATTTTAATACCGGGGTACCTCAAAAGCGATGTCCTTTGCCTAGTTCACACTCTGCTCGCTACTTCTCTGCTCCAGCACAAAACTTAGTTTCCCGGAGTGTTCTTTGTCTTTGTGGTGGCCATTTTAGGACCAGCACTGCAGCTTGCCTTTGGGAGGGATTTTCAACCCTCCAGGTGATTTCCCCCTTCTTCACCACCCCACCAGGTTGGTTCTGGTCCCAATCAGGACCCTCCAGCAAGTGAGCTTGGGCAAAACCACGAACGATTGCGGATTCCACTCTGACTCCGACGAGGAACAAACTGGAAGTCAGATCACTGAATGATTCTGTGAGCAACTCAATCCGCCTGCCTGTTTTGCCTGATTTGGGGTAAAAGTTGTTCTTTTTTAAAATAAAAAATTCAATATTTCCATACATGGCGTGTTGTGAGTTAATTTTGTGAGTTTGCTTGCTAGCAAATTTTATGTGACCGACTGAGCTAACTGATGGCAGATAGATCTCTGAATGAATCTGTGATTCTGTGAGCAACTCTGCCTGCCTGCTTTGTCTGATTTTGGGTAAAAGTTGCTCTTTTTTATAAAAAATTCAATATTTATATAAATATTTATAATATTTACATACAAGCCATGCCCAGCCAGTCACATGACCACCAAGCCATACCCACAAATTAGGCCATGCCTACAGAACCGGTTAGTGTCCCTTGGATTTTAAATTATGAGTTTGGTGGTCTCTGAGGTCCAAAAGATTGGTGACCCCTGCTTTACAGAGAAGTAATTGAGATTCACATTCCGTACCAGTATTATATAAATCTTTATTACATTCACTGACCAGCAAATCAAACAACAGGCACCTTAAAAGAAAAAATACAGAGTGTAAGAAGTTATGATATTATAAAATTATTTATTTAACTGTAAAAAATTGTAAAATGCTAAAACCTAGAATGTTTCTAAAATATTAAAAGTGCTTAGAACAATTTACTACAATGCAATGAATACAGGAACATGATCTAAGTAATAGAAACAATGTGACAAAGTAATTAGTAAAATGTTTTTAAGCCATTCTAAGTTTCAAAGTTCTATCTATGCAACACTAGCTATTAAGTGAGTATATGTTTACTTGAATTTATATCAGTCTAAATGTATATTAGTCAGTGACAAAATATAATGGGAGAAATAAAACCTTTACACTATGAGACTTCAAGAATGGGCTGGCCTTTAAGGTGTCAGAAGTCTCTTTAGTATATATACTTTCCAGAGATTTCTTTTAGTGGTAAAGTAATAGTTATTATTTTCCTTTAAAAGTAATAATTTTCTTTTTCCTTGTATCCATGAAGCATGGATATTGTAGAGCAAAACTTACTGATGAAATGTAAACTTAGAAAGATAAAATCTTAAACCTCCAGAACAATTAAATCTTGACCATAACATCCAATAATTAATATGAACTTCAAGTCTCAAATTTATTTGTGTTATCAACTTTACTTATGCTGTTTACCATTTTTGAGCACAAAGACGGGTTTATGTCAACTCATAAAACATTTTGTATACACATTTTATAGTTGGCAATAGAAATGGGGGGGGGGGGTTTCAAAGAGCAGGCAACAGTGTGAAATCGAAAGTACATTCCATTCATATTTTCTTCAAAGACTGATTAGATGGCTGAAGCTTCTACTGCAAAAAAATCTAATTGGAGAGCATGATTGATGACTCATGTCTATGGAACGTTTTTCCTTGGATGATACACCCGGAGGAGTGGGGGAAAAGCAGGATCAAGGGTGACTGAATTATGTATCTCAAGAGTTGGCTACGCCCGGGTTAGTGCCGGACATACCTTCAAATAAATCCTCTTTAGTTTTAGGAGTATGGCTCTTGATTTAATTGGAGTAACTGCCAGAACCCTGACAGTTTAATTCATATTTATATACTTAGTCCACAACTGTTAGATATTTCCATTAAAACTTTTTAATGATGATGATGATGTTATCCATTCAGTCTATAGCAATTCTCAGTCATCTAGGTCATGGTTGTCGCAAAGGTGTTTTTTCAAAAGGCAACTGGACTTTGTTTTTGCTTGAAGACGTTGTTAAATAAAGTCCAGTTGCCTTTTGAAAAAACACCTTTGGGATATCCATTCAGTCATGCCCAACTCTTGGTGATTCTATGGGCCTGGTCTCTCTATGTCTGCTGCTCTTGCACTACTTCTTTGAGTTTTTCTATGCTCTGGCTGGTGTGAAACTTTTTTATGGTAATCTTAATTTAAGCATCTGAACTCCATTTTACAATGAGACATAGGCCTAAAAAGTGCTGTTTAGCAAGTTCTGTAGCAGCCAAACCAGTTTGCATCCAACCCATGTCACTACTAGAAAGATTGTGAAGCTGTTCTAAATGTTATATAGGATTTATGGTGTGGCATATGGCTCTTTGAAATATAAAGACTACAGTCCCATTCATGTAAGGCCAAGACAACAGAAGAGCTAATTTGCTATCTAAAGATAATTAAAGGCCTGCAGTGAAAAAGGGGAAGGGAGGCACCGAAGTTAGTCCAGTAGTGAACTCTTCCCATTAAGGAAAAAAGTAGAAGAGAAGCAACCGAAAAGAACAGGACTTCCAGAGATGCTAGAAGGCATCTCGGAGGCAATGAACATGAATTTGAGCAAACTCCAGGAGACAGTGGAGGATGGGAGGGGGGGAGATCTGGTGTGCTATGATCCATGGGATTGCAAAGAGCCAGACACAACTTCGCAGCTGAACAACAATCTCAGGTGTACCCAAAGGTGCTTTTTCAAAAGGCAACTGGACTTTCCTGGGGGGGGGGTTTCCCCCTTGAAAACATTTGGATTCTCACCCAAGAAACTTCTTCCATTCTTCTTCAGTTCTTCAGTTTCTTGGATGAGAAGCCAAACATTTTCAAAGAAAAACAAACAAGGAAGTCCAGTTTTGCCTTTTGGAAGAGTACCTTTGGGACAACCATGATTTGGATGATGGAGAAGCTCCATGGACATCCCAGGAGGATACACAACTTGAGGCCCCCAGCGCACAATTGGCTGGAAAGTTTGCTCCCAGGACCATCCTAGTTAGATGGTCCTGCACCTGCTTGGCTCCTCCATGCCAGACCTTTCACCCTGGGGGGGCGGGCTGGCTGGGGCCTTCAGGGAGCTTCTGAAAGGCTTGCACAGACCCATCCCCCCTGCCCTAAGAATCAGGGCTGCCAGCAGGCATGGTCAAGATGGCCTGTTGAGGTTCGCCCACCCTCAATCGCTGAAGGAACTCAATTCACTCCCTTCGGTTGAGAAGATTTAATTCCAGGAACCTAAATGACTCTTCATTTATCCAATAGTGGGCAGCATAATATATAGACAATGGATTCTAAGGCATATCAGATCATTATTGTGAGAGACACCCTGAGCAAACAAATTCCAGAGGACATACACGCAACACTGCTGGAATGCACAACAATTGACTTGTAACCTAATCCTTTGTATCTTTTATCTTCCACCTCCTACTGAAAGCAGGACAGCCAGGCAATTAAATCTCTGAATAGATAGAACTCCTCCCTTGCCTTAAAGTTAAATGAAAGGGGTTAACTTTCATTTTTTGGAATTCTATCCAGGATCAGCAACATGGTATTGGGGAGAGAAAGAAGAAATTTGAGACCATTCCATGTCAAAAATCTACCTGGGTTTAGGAAGGAATTGTGGAAGTCCAAACACCTTAAAGTTGCCAAGTCTGAAAAACACTAGTCTAAAATCTACACACTTCTCTTTGCTATTTAATTCTTAATAAGCAGTAAACGTTACTTTGGTATAGATGGCCCTAGCATTTGCTGGCACTATTTCTTCAACCCAGAATATAGGAGCAAGATTGAAAGAAAGAAATGCCTTTCCTTTTCTATTAATTGAAATGGCACAAGGGGAACCTAATCTTTGTAACCCGCAGTTAATCTATATCAATTGAGCTCTGGATTACAAGCTCCTGTAAATCAAAACGTTAGGGACAACATGACTGAAGTTGGGGAGCATTTTGATTTAGGAGAGTGTAACCCAGAGCTCAATTGATGTAGATTAACTACGGATTACAAAGATTAGGCTACCCTTGTGCCATTTCAATTAATAGAAAAGGAAAGGCATTTCTTTTTTTTCAATCTTGCTCCTATATTCTGGGTTGAATAAATAGTGGCAGCAAACGCCAGGGCCATCTATAACTCTTTCATCTCCTGGGCTGACCTTTTGGGCAATTCTCAGTGGCGAGAAAGTCCCTGACGATTATGGTTTAGTTATTTGAATGCAAATAGAAGAGAAGTCCAAGCTCAGTGTCTAAAGCAGCTATTTGCCTTTGGAAGAGGAACTATTTGAAACTCACATTGTACCTATGTCTTTTCTCACCCCCGAGAGCCACTGCTGATCCTAATGCTTTAGTTTATGGAAGGAAAGTTGTAATTATATAAGCAAAAGAAAAAAGTGACTATATAAAAAGAGGTGACAGACTTAAACCAGAGTTGAATTTAGAACGTCAACCATTGTCATTCATCACTATGTGAAATTGCTGCTACAAAAGCATTAACAATCCTGCCTTTCCTTTTGGCAGATCAGCTCCTGTCTTTCTCTTTTCCAATAGATTTTTCCCTCTTCTCTTAACTGCACCATTCCACTAGCAACCAGTTGCAGAGCCATGGGAAAGACATGGTTCTCTGCTTCTTTGATCTTTGCATATAAGGTCTCCTGGGTATCTTCTGCCTTTACACATACTGGCTCTTGTACAATTATTGCTTCAGGACTGGTCTCCTCCTGAAAGAAAGAGAAGGGAAAACATCCCTTATCTGGAAAATTACCTACCAAGATTAATGTGAAAGAGAGATAGCTAAAAACAGAGCAGTATCACTGAAATGTAATTACTTTAATTATATGAACAATAGAAATGTTCACTAGGATATGAGACAATGAATTAACAGAACATTTAGAAATGGGACAGCAAAATGATATTTTATTTAGATATCAGTAGTGTATGAAGAATTTTGCTCAAGCATGAAATCAAGACAATATTTCTCTTTCAATGTATTAAAGTAGCCAGAGCAAAATACTACCTTCCATATTGACAAGAGTAGGTGGAGTTGCAGTCCAATACATCTGAAGAACATTTTATTATAGATAGTTGCATCAGTGGTAGATGCTGTAAAATTAATTACCAAGAATTTTAAATATGGACAGAGGAGGTATAACTTAATTTGGAATGTTTGAGTTGATTCCCTCGCAGAAAGGTAAAGGAATAACAATATTCCATAGTCTCAATTTCTACAAAAGGATTTCCCAAATCTTGATAAGTTTTACTAATTTATTAATGAAGTTGCAGTAAACAGCAAACAGAGAAGTCATGCTAGTTGTGAATATAATAATTATCTACCAATATATAGAACACAAAACTCTGTTTATTGCCAATCCAGAAAAACGCACTTACAAGTACAAAATGCACAATACAGCCCACAATTTTGTCTGTAGATGGATGTGTTTGATTATAGATATTTCTCCTCTTACTTAATGGTGAAACTGATGGATAAGTTCCCAGCATCTTCCCTACAATTAATAATCATATTGGGAATTATCAAATGATACCGATATGCAAGACACAAACAGATAATTGATTTAAACATTGTTTGAGATTATATAAAATTTACTCTTAGTCGGAAGTGTTGTCTTATATATGCCAAATTTTCAGCAGTAAATATCTCTTCTCAGTAGTAATGAGCAATAACAGCAATAGCAATAGCAGTCAGATTTATATACTGCTCCACTGTGCTTTACTGCACTCTCTGAGCAGTTTACACATGTTAGCATATTGCCCTCAACAAACTGGGTCTTCATTTTACTGATTTCTGAAGGATGGAAGGCTGAGTCAACATTGAGCCTGTCAGGATTGAACTCCAAACTGTGGGCAGAGTTAGCCTGCAATATTGCATTCTATCCACTGTGAAACCACAGCTCAATAAATATGCCAAATTCAAATTCCAAAGCAGATATCTGCCCAAGGCCCCATCTTTGTTTACTTTTTAAATGTCTACATTTTAATTTAAAAGTCATATAAAATGTAGTGGCAAGTTGATCTACTGTAACATAACACCCATAGACTTATAGAATGCAGAAATTTGGTGCAACATATTTTATATAGAGGCAGAAATGTGATGCTAGGTGATTGGAGGAAAGGGTGGTGAATGTATCTTTGAGAGAAGGGATGGTCCTGCACTGTTTAAGTTCAATCTCTCCTCAAGGAGCCATCACCAGATACAACCTGTAAATGCTGAATAATTTCTGCCTGTCTCTAACATTTCCTTTACAGGAAAAGTTATTGGGAAGTTATTCAGGCTGTTTGCGTGAAAATGCTCTGGACGAGGCAGATTATCTGGATCCTTGCAGGCAGGTTTCAGACCTGGGCACAGTACAAAAATGATACTGATCACACTTGATGATCTGTAATGGAGGCTGAAGTGATACAATCTGGTCCTCCTTGATATCTCAGCATCCTTCAATACTATCAATTGTGATATCCTTCTGGATTGATTAAGGGATTGGGAGTGCAAAACAAGGTGCTATGGTGATTTTCCTTTTTTCTCTGGGGCTAATTCTTGTCAGTTTAATTGCGGGGGGGGGGGGGAGAAGGGTGATGAGAGATCTAGCCCAAGGTCTTTAGGGTATCTTAGGATATAATTCTCCCCCCACTCCTATTTAATTTCTACATAAGACCAATGTCAGCACAGAGTGAGATACCATCAGTATGTTGATGATGCGCAGTTTGCATCTCATCCCTGGGCCACCCAAGTGATGCCATCGATGTTCTGTCACATTATGAGGCATATTTAGAGACCTGAATGGAGAACAGGTTTAAACTGAATCCTGACAAAACCAACAATACCAAGTGGCTGTGGATTTTTGGACCCTCTGGCTCTGGAAGCTTCCCATTTTTGTTCCTCGAAGGGGCCATACTGCCCTAAACAGACTCAATGAGCAATTTGGGGCTCCTCCTAGATTCCTGGTTCCTGCTTGGGGAGCAGATGGCAGCAGTAGTTCATCTGCAGAGCATCTGCAGAGCTCTATCTTGTGTGCCAATTGGGGACCATGGCTCTGCAAATTGGATTGCAATTGGATTGTTGAAAGCTCTGCAACTGGATTGTTGCAATGCACTGTATATGGGGCTTCCCTTGATATCCATTTGGAAGCTAGGGGTGTTTATGGGAATATTTCAGTATGTATATACCACTTCTACTTCATGAGCTGCACTGATTACCAATGAGCTTCTGGGTGCAATTCAAGATACTGGTTCTCATCTATAAAATTCTTCATGGATCGGAGCCAGGTTACTTGTGAAACTATCTACCTTTAATTATTTCTTCTTGTCTGGCAAGATCTGAAAGATTGGTATACTCTGGATTCTTTTGTTTAGGCAATATCATCTTGCAGGATCCAGAAGAAATGCCTTCTCTATTGCTGGCCTTTGCCTTTGGAATAGCATCTCCTCAGATTTTGTTGGCTCCAATCCTGCATGTCCTTTGTAAAGTACTAAAGACCTGGCTCTTTCTCCAGGCACTGAACCTGCTGAATGATTTTTCCTGAAACTTTATGTCCTCGTGTCTTTGTATTTGTTTTTCTATACTTGTTCATTATATTGTTTTGCATGAATCTACTGCTTTTTGGTGATGAGATATTTTGCCATGAGGCATGTGCAGATTCAACAGCTTTATAAAATAAATAAACAAATAAGAATAAATCCATCACTGTTAACAACAATATTTCATCTAACTTGCTTACCATACCATTTCCTAAGGAAGTTACTGGACAAAATTCTTATAAATCCCGATAGACAAATCAGTTCAATAGAGAATTCTTCAAGGACACTATCAATTGTGCCTTCATATTCTGATCTGCTTCCATACAATTTATGGTCAATTACCTGCAATAGTTAAGAGGAAATTAAAGAGGGCAAAACCTTCTAAGCAACCTATCTTTGGGTGAACACTGAAAGCAAATTTCTCAATTTATTGAACTTTGAAGATGCTTAATTGTTCATGGCCACTACATTTTATATGACTTTTAAATCACGGAAGTCAGTCTTGGAAAGACCCCTATGGCTGCAATGTATTCTTAAAAGTATAGTGTAGTGCCGTATTTTTCACTTCACTTGTTTATTTCTTTTCCTACTTATCTGTTTAAACTTGGACTTCTCCCAATGTGGACAAACTGACACAAAGCTAACTAGATGAATCTTTCTACTTGCATCTAACAACACCTTGCAAAGACCCAGACATACCCTGAGTAGAATTCCTTGGCGATTGGTGCAAGGACAAATTTATGGTCAAAACAAAGTAAAATTGGAAATAATTTGGAGACATTTGAATTTTGGGGGGGATGTTGGTATAAACCATGCAGAAGATGCTTATGCTCCATTTTTATCTGCTGGGAATGTCATTTGCTGCTCTGGAGGGGTCTCTGGGCAGCAGAATGGGCAGGAATTTGAGTAATAGTTCCCTCATATTTATTTCTGTACTTTAAATCTTGTTCTGAGTAAGCTATTGTTGCATCGACTGCATTCTCTAGTTGTTGTTATCTATATACTAATAAAATTCACATTCCTGTAACTTTTAACTGTGTGAAACAATGCGTCATATGGCAATAATTTTTGAATCAAGATATCACAAATGAACCAATTTATAGAATGTGTCAAAAATCTTGGAAGCATGACACCTATAGAACTGAAATTTGGCAAGTAAGTTTGGAAATATTTATATGACATAAAATTATCATATTTCTGTATTTGTTTATGAAAAATACAAAATGTCATATAATATTTCCTGTGCTGATGTTTGACTGTACTATTCAGTTCATCGTGGGCTATTTTCAAAGGAGATATATATCTCTAAATCTACCCCAACTTTTGTAGTGAAGAAAAAGGCAGTACATGAGAACTTCTGTCCCTGTTGAAGGCAATATATCTGAAAGGATGACCAAGTGGGTCACAGATTGTCTAGTAGTTGTGTCTACAGGTGAAACTCGAAAAATTAGAATATCATGCAAAAGTTCATTTATTTCAGTAATGCAACTTAAAAGGTGAACCTAATATATGAGATAGACTCATTACATGCAAAGCAAGATAGTTCAAGCCGTGATGTGTCATAATTGAGATGATTATGGCTTACAGCTCATGAAAACCCCAACTCCACAATCTCAGAAAATTAGAATATTGTGCAAAGGTTCAATATTCTAGGCTCAAAGTGTCCCACTCTAATCAGCTAATTAAGCCATAACACCTGCAAAGGGTTCCTGAGCCTTTAAATGGTCTCTCAGTCAGGTTCAGTAGGAAGCACAATCATGGGAAAGACTGCTGACCTGACAGTTGTGCAGAAAACCATCACTGACACCCTCCATAAGGAGGGAAAGCCTCAAAAGGTAATTGAAAAAGAAGTTGGATGTTCCCAAAGTGCTGTATCAAAGCACATTAATAGAAAGTTATGTGGAAGGGAAAAGTGTGGAAGAAAAAGGTGCACAAGCAGCAGGGATGACCACAGCCTGAAGAGGATTGTCAGGAAAAGGCCATTCAAAAGTGTTGGGGACTTTCACAAGGAGTGGACTGAGGCTGGAGTCAGTGCATCAAGAGCCACCACACACAGACGGATCCTGGACATGGGCTTCAAATGTCGTATTCCTCTTGTCAAGCTGCTCCTGAACAACAAACGTCAGAAGCCTCTTACCTGGGCTAAAGAAAAACAGAACTGGTCTGTTGCTCAGTGATCCAAAGTCCTCTTTTCTGATGAGAGCAACTTTTGCATCTCATTTGGAAACCAAGGACCCAGAGTTTATTTTATTTATTTATTTATTTATTTATTTATTTATTTATTTATTTGATTTGCCAATTGTTTACAAGATAATAAGTATAAATGTATACATAGTTGTGAATACATGAAATGGTTACATATAAGAAAAATAAAAGAATAAGAGAAACAATAGGACAGGGACGGTAGGCACGTTGGTGCGCTTATGCACGCCCCCTACAGACCTCTTAGGAAAGGGGTGAGGTCAATAGTAGACAGTCTAAGGTTAAAGTTTTTGGGGTTTGGGGAAGAAACTACAGAGTCGGGTAGAGTATTCCAGACATTGCTATTGCTGAAGTCGTATTTCCTGCAATCAAGTTTGGTGCGGTTTACTTTGAGTTTGTATCTATTGTGTGCTCTTGTGTTGTTATGGTTGAAGCTGAAGTATTCATTGACAGGTAGGACATTGCAATGTATGATTTTGTATACCATGCTTAAGTCAGACCGAAGACGGCGTAATTCAAGGTTTTCTAGTTCTAGAATTTCAAGTCTGGTGGCATAAGGTATTCTACAGCGAGTAGAGGAGTGGAGAACTCTTCTTGTGAAATATTTCTGGACTTTCTCAATTGTGCTAATATCAGATACGTAGTGTGGGTTCCAGACTGATGAACTGTATTCGAGTATTGGTCTAGCAAATGTTTTGTATGCTCTGGTTAGTAGTGTGATATTACCAGAGAAAAAGCTACGTAGGATTAGGTTAACAACTCTTAATGCCTTTTTGGCTATGTAGTTGCAGTGTGCTCTAGCACTTAGATCATTAGAGGTGAGTATTCCAAGGTCCTTTACAGAGCTTGGGTCATCAACAAGATCTTGACTATTCAGCTTGTATTTTATTTTCTGATTTTTTTTGCCAATATGTAAGACAGAGCATTTATTTGTTGAGATTTGAAGTTGCCATTTGTTTGACCATTCGAATACATAGTCAAGATCTTTTTGTAGGGTAGCAGTATTGTCTGTGGTATTGAACAGCTTTACATCATCAGCGAAGAGAACGCAATTGCTCTTAATATGATCACAGAGGTCGTTTATGTAGAGTATGAAGAGAGTTGGTCCTAGAACACTGCCTTGGGGAACACCACTATTGACAGGTACTGGATTTGATAGGACGCTCCCGATTTTGACCATTTGTTGTCTGTTTGACAGGAATGCTTCTATCCAGTTATTCAGTTGTCCAGAGATACCATAGGATTTTATTTTTAGGAGTAGTTTGTCGTGTACCACTGAATCAAAGGCTTTACAGAAGTCTATGTAGATTGCGTCTATTGTTTTGCCCTGGTAGAGTTGTGTCGTCCATATGTTTTTGCAGTGTAAGAGTTGCAGATTACAGGATAGTTTTTTCCTGAAACCAAATTGTTTATTGGAGAGTAGGTTATTTGTCTCTAAGTGAAGGATGATGGATTGGTTAATAATTGATTCCATGACTTTACAGGTGACGCAGCATAAGGAGATTGGCCTGTAGTTTTCAACTAGGCTTGGGTCTCCCTTTTTGAAGATGGGGATGACTGTGGCTTGTGACCATAGGTTAGGCAAGGAGCTGGTTCTGAAAGATTTTTCAAAGATTATGCTTAGAGGTTTGGCTATGGCAGTGGATAGCTTTCTTAAGAAGTAGGCACATATTCCATCCGGTCCAATAGATAGAGATGGTTTTAGGTTGCGTATTGCTTTTTCAACATTGTCTTCTGTGAAATCGATATGTATTAGATCATTGTTGTTATCTGTGGTACGGCTAGGAAATATTGGGCATGATCCATTGCTGTTTACAAATACTGAGCCGAAGAATGTGTTAAAGATGTTGGCTTTAATGGTGTCGTCGTTGCAGTCTTTACCATCAGGTCCTATCAAGGGAGGGATGGACCTTGAGTCTTTTAGTTTGTTGTTTACAAAATTGTAAAAAGCGCGGGTGGAATTGGTGCTTAGAAGGTTTTCCTCTTGTTTAATGTGATAATTGGTGCATTCGGTCTTTATCTGGTGGCATAGATTTTTGTATCGGTTTTTGAAATTGGCAACGTGACCAGATTTGTTTTTCCGCCAGAGTGATCTCTTTTTGGATTGAAGTTTCCTTATTGTTATGGGTAATCTGCTTTTTTGTTTTGTTTTGGGAGTTGTTGTTGGTACATATAGTTTGATGACTCTTTTGACTTCAAGTAAAAATATGTTATAATGGTCTTCAACGGTATTGCATCCAGTGAATAGAGATTGCCAATCAAGGGATGAGAGATCGTTGTCTATAAGATCATAGTTGCCTTTTTTGAAGTTACAATAGGGGATTACATCATTGTGGTGATTTTTGTGTGGATGTATGTTGAGACAAAAGTCGATCATATTGTGGTCACTACTGGAAAAGGGTTCTTTAGATTGTATTCCGTAGATTAGGTTCAAACTGTTGCAGAAGATGAGATCGAGGCAGTTGTTTAGTCTAGTGTTGTTGGTTACTAGTTGTTCCAGTCCCAGATTTGTAATAGCATTGTAGAAGGTTGTGTGTATGATTTCAGTTGTACAATCATTTAGGGTCCAGTTAATATGAGGTAGATTGAAATCACCAAGAAGGATAAAAGGGTATGGGCAGGATGCAGCCCATGTTAGTAATGTATTTAGCTTGTTTACATGTTCGATGTCATAATCAGGTGCTCTGTAACATAGTAAGAATCGAATTGTGATATTTGAGGATAGTTCACAGATAATGGTTTCAGGAAGGGCAAACTCCTGGGTAACTTGGATATTTTTTAGATGTAAGGATTTTTTATAGAATATAGCAACTCCACCTCCTCGACGATTTTCACGATCTGATCTGTAAACATGATAGTCTCTTACTGTGGTAATGGAGTCGGGGAGAGATGCATTGAGCCATGTTTCACAGACAAATATAATGTCGAAGTTAGCCATATTTAGGAGGAAGAGAAATTCAGGTATTTTATTTACGAGGCTTCTTGCATTGAGTAGTTTGCATTTAAGGCCGGCAGTAGTTGGAATTGAGGTAGTTGGGGGCGTGCGTGCCTAGTCTTGGGTGATGGTGGATGGGTTGAGGTAGGGTTGTGGTTGAGGGTAAAAGCTGAGTATTGGGTTGAGTGGTTTACTTTTGATACAGTCAGCATGGTAGTCAATGTACAGGTCCTTCTCTCCATTGTCTAGACGGTTTTTGAGTTCGATGCGGAGTGCACGGGAGCGGGCACGTTGCTGTATGGTTAGGTCAGGGCGGCAACGGAGGTTCTTATGGATGGTGTTGGTTTTGGCGAGTGAGTTTATAGTATAAATGAATTTACGTTTGCTTGATTCATTTTTGCAAATGACCCTGCACAAGCGTGGGGCCACAGAGCCATCTCTATTTTTGAGCTCTCGGTCAATGCGGGAAATGTCAAGTATTTCATCAGCGGAGATGGTTGATGCTTGATAATTTCTGATGATGTTTCGGACAGTTGTGATGTCATCATTGACATTGATGTCTTCTAGACCAAATAAGATGGCGTTTGGGCGTTTCCGTTCACGCTCAACGGCTTCTCTGATGAGAATTGGGATATCAATATTTGTCTGGGTTGTGTTTATTTGTGGATTGGGTTGTGGATTGGATTGTGGTTGATTGGTAGAGATGTGGTTAGTAGCTATTGGATGTTCAGGTTTTTGCGTTGTGTCCTTTTTTTCAAGGTTGGATATTCTTTCTTTTACGGCGTCCAGGGATGCTACTATGATGTTGAGGGATGTTGTAATGGTTTCGATGGTAGGGGATGTTTCAATGGTTTCAATGGTATCAACTCTTTCAGACAGATCCAGTTTGGGTCTGCATGATTTGCAGATATGTGGAAACTCATTGGATGATTTTAGGTATTGAATCATCTGCTCAGGTAATCCCAAGCAGTCATGATGAGTGTATTTTTTACACAGAGAACATTTGATGGAGTTTTCATTATCCTTTAGATTTTTGTAGCATTTAAGGCATGTGCAGGAGTCTTGTGGTTCATTGGTGGGGATCATCTTCTCTTTAGGTTGTGGTTTGACGTAGGATTTTCTTTTTGGCATGGTAGGATTGTTAAAATAGTACGTTGATTGAATTAATTAGAGGAACAATTTTGGGTAATCTATATAGCCAATATTATATCAAACAATCAATTGCAGTAATCTCTCAAGTCAGATAATATTCCTGAGCAACAATCAGCCTGAATAGTTAATTACTCTAATCATTAATCAATTAATTACACTAATCATTAACCACACTATTCATTTAAATTCACTAGATCAATGATTTTGCTATTCAATTAAATTACATGAATTTTGATCTTTTAAACTAGTCAGTAATCACACTATTTGCACTAAACACTCTAATCACACTAATCAATTAAAAACAATAAATCAGTTAAACCATTAATAAAATATTTTATAGAAATTGATTATCTAATCGTTGATATAGCTGATGAGGTAGAAAAGTTGTAAGATTTGAGGTAATGAGGTAGTATTAAGAGTCTGCAAGGAACGGGTTAATTGTTTAACTGGCAGCTGAATGGGAGGAATTTATCGCTGTTTGAAAAGCAGATCGCTATTACTCTGTAAACAGGAAGTTGTAACACAATGATCCAAGGGTTTTTATCTGAGTGAAGGAAAGATTGAACAGCTCACAGGAAACTATTTGTTTTTGTTTTCCCTTGATGAATGAGATGGCCCTCGCCCGCTTGCCTTTGCGCCTCCGGGCTGTTTGTTAGCGCTCTTTCGTGGGTCGTGAGAACGCTCGCTTTGTGCCACGAACGAATCTTTGTATCTTTTGAAAGGCCAGCAATCCGCCAAACATTTACTCTAAACTAGTTCTATTCGAGTCTGAGTCCCGAGGGCGCCAAGCAGAGATCGCGCCTGCAGTCCTCACTTTCTCTTGGGGGAGATGATTCTGCCGGCCCTTCCCGATCGTTTCCCGGCATTTTCACTTTCCCCTCTGGGGCTGTTTCCTTTCCGTGCCGCGGACGGGCTCAGCGCCGAAGAAATCGCCTCCTTCCCGGGGAGAAGCAGCAAAGAACTCGGAGGTCCAAGAAATGCAAAATCCCCTCGCTGGGAACCCCTCGCGCTTTTCCTCCCCCACGGGTCAGATCGGCTTTTCAGGTGGCCCCGCAAATGGAAGCTCTGTCCTCTGCCTTTAGCAACCGGAAAATGGGACTTCTCCAAGAAAGCCTCGGCGAAGAAAGTTTTTTCGGAGCGTCTCGGGGCTGCAGAGGCTCTCCAAGCGCGCGCGCTCGCCAGGCCGCCCGCTAGATCCCAGCCGATCGCTCGATCGCCTTACCCAACAAAAGGAAGCCCGCTCAAGATGGGATTCCCGGACCGCTCGCTCAGGGTCGGCTGCAAAGAGGCTTCATGCCAGGCGGCGCCGTTCTGGTGTTCTGTCTTGTCTTTTTCCCCCAAGTTGTTTTACAGACTACTTTCTTTCATTAAAAATGCCATTTAAACCAGGCGACAAACCAGCCCCTCTCGTTGCGGCCCTTCAAACCTCCCTCCGGCCGCGCTCCTCACCACCTCGCCGCCGCCATCTGGTTCGGAGTCTGGAGGAAGAATGGAGAGGCACATACTGCAAGATGCTTGAAGTCCAGTGTGAAGTTTCCACAGTCTGTGTTGATTTGGGGAGCCATGTCATCTGCTGGTGTTGGTCCACTGTGCTTCATTAAGTCCAGGGTCAATGCAGCCGTCTACCAGCAGATTTTGGAGCACTTCATGCTTCCTTCCACAGACGAGCTTTATGGGGATGCTGACTTCATTTTCCAGCAGGACTTGGCCCCTGCCCACACTGCCAAAAGCACCAAAACCTGATTCAATGACCGTGGGATTACTATGCTTGATTGGCCAGTAAACTCGCCTGACCTGAACCCCATAGAGAATCTATGGGGCATTGCCAAGAGAAAGATGAGAGACATGAGACCGAACAATGCAGAAGAGCTGAAGGCCGCTATTGAAGCATCCTGGTCTTCCATAACACCTCAGCAGTGCCACAGGCTGATAGTTTCCATGCCACGCCGCATTGAGGCAGTAATTGCTGCAAAAGGGGCCCAAACCAAGTACTGAGCACATATGCATGCTTATACTTTTCAGAGGTCCGATATTGTTCTATGTACAATCCTTGTTTTATTGATTGCATGTAATATTCTAATTTTCTGAGATTGTGGATTGGGGGTTTTCATGAACTATAAGCCATAATCATCACAATTATGACAAATCGCGGCTTGAACTATCTTGCTTTGCATGTAATGAGTCTATCTCATATATTAGTTTCACCTTTTAAGTTGTATTACTGAAATAAATGAACTTTTGCACGATATTCTAATTTTTTGAGTTTCACCTGTAAATATTAAAAGAGGTTAGTGCCTCTTGGCTTAGCTGGCTAACCACTCCAGGACACACTTCGTGTCAGGGCTGCCTCTGTTCATTTCCTAGGAAAGAAAAACCCTTGGCTCCATAGATTTAGAGAAAAGTACTTTTACTAGGAACAAACTGAAACCAGACCATTTCAAGCAAGATATGAGGGCACAGCAACATCTTCAAACACAGTATACAGCCCAACCCCCTTATAGCTAAGCAACTGCATATCAGAGCCAAAGGACTTGGCCTTGGAGATAACAGCAGTTGCAAAGCTGCAATGTAAGCTTCCCCCTATTCCCCCTCGCCCCCCATTCTATGGCAGCAAGCAACAGGCTGGCTGACACTTGACTGTAGTGATGTAACCTTACTGAATGTGTGTGAAGGCAGTGTGAGTGTTTTGCTAGTAAGTTAGGGATGTATTCAAATAAATACCGTGTTTCTCATATAATAAGGCCGGGTCTTATTTTTTTTTTGAGCCCTGAAAAAATGGCTAGGCCATCTTTTCAGGGGGTGACTTAATTCCCCCCCTTGCATCTTCGGGCGGGCGGGCGGCGACGGCTTGGATGTTGACCTCGGCGTTGTTGGGGCACTTAGTATCGGGGTCAACGCAGGCAGCACCATATCCGGATGTGCAACAAAAGTACTTCCTAACGGCAAGCCCCCCCACCATTCCCCACCATTTCGCATGTTTTAATATAGGCCTTAATTTGGGGGGAGGGGCTTAATTTCATTTCATGCCTATAAAACATGCTGGGACTTCCTATTGGGGGAGGCCATATTGTTGGAGAAACAGGGTATTACATTATATCTTAATATGGAACTATATATACATTAGTGAATTGGGTTAAGTGGGGCCTTTTTATCTGTAGAGCATCCAAAATAGTAAGCATAATTTTTTAGAATGCACATTACAATGAGTAACACATGAATTAATGACAAAAACAGCAATACTTCAAAAAAAAAAAAAAAGAAAAGGAAAAAAATACCATAACATCCGACTAA